AAAGCATGCAAGTAACATCTAATATAGATCTTTTTAAAAGGAAACACAAAAAAAATCAAATAAAATATACATTTTACTCTATGGAAACCCATATGGAAAACAAATATATGTAAAGTGCATCTATCAAATACATTGAAAAATACATTACATTAATGTTTGGAATATATTGTGGAAAAAAAAACAAACAATATATTTCATATGTATCTGATACAAAAAAAACATGCCTATGTGTTATTTTCAAACTTGAAAGGAAAAATATGCATTATTTTAGAGTCAAAACAAGCGCAAAATAATTAATAAAATTTGAACTTAGAAAGCATAAAATAATTCAGGGGAAAGAAAACAATAACAATACAGAAGTTAGAAAAAAAAGTAAGAAATAGGTACAGTATTGTGTAACAGCACTAATGCATATTGCTTAAGACCACTTATCTGGAACCAAACGTAGTTCTTCGAACTAGCTCACAAGATATAAACTACTTTTTTTGAAAATAAGAAATTATTATGTTATGTTGTTTTTCCAAGCAAAAACATAGTTGCCCTGATTTCACCAGCACACCTGATTTTTAACCCAAAGAAGCGCTGATTAGCCAAACCAAGTATCTGATGATAACTTCAGTTAATACTGGGCTGCCACAAGGAGCCGTTTGGAAACAGTTAAACAGACCCACTGTCATACATACAATTACTACTTATTATATTAGTTATGCGTTTATTCTAATATTTTTATGTTTTTAGAAGGCAAATAAACACTTACTGTGCAAAAATAATTTTTAATAGTAAGTTTCTCAGGCAACTGTAAGTTCTGCACAATAAAATACATACCATAGAAGAATACTAGTGCAACAAAAAATAATGAATATTTGGAGCAACAAAAAATAAGAAAATAAAACCATGGAGGTAAAGAAACAAAAAGTACTTTTAAATAATACGCACAGTGGCCCTTGTACGTCGAAGTTGCGTAAAAAAGCGCAGATTTGACCGCCTTTAATTCCCGTCATATGAAGGTCATAAAACCTTCATATGACGGGAAAATGAGCAGAGATTTGAGCGCAAATGATGAATCAGCTTCAGCGCCAGCCTCCTCATTTACATACCATTTGCATGAGCCACTCCCTTATTTCCATGCAGATATTTCAGTAGGGAGCCAATAAAATGACAGCTTTCAGCGGCTCGTGAGCCAATGACTGTGCTCGTAGGCGGAGCTTGAGGTCAAGCAGCGAGTGCACTACTGCCCCTACTGACCAAACTTTACTGTGTCAAAATTACAAAGACTGCAAAGAATTAAATATGAAATCTTAAGTTTTTTTAAGATTTTTGATGATTGTGTAGTGTGATCATTTTCATAAAATTACAGATTTAAACACTGCACTATGGCAGTGTATGAAGCTTCTGCACTAGCTGTATTCTGCATTGTTTATTTTCGGGGCTGTCAGTAATATAAAACAAAAACTCAGGAGCCACGTTTACATGCAGCCTGATAATCCGTTAATAATCCGACTAATGGCTCAATCGGAATAGAACACGTCCATGTAAACACCTTAATCGGAATAGACTAGTCCGATTGAGGCCATTCGGAATACAATTTCTATCCGATTGAACGAGGTGGGTAAACTTCTAAATAATCCGTTAAATAGAAGAATAATAGCCATGTAAACGCCTGAATCCGATTACATTCCAATCGGAACGTGTAAGTATGTTCTGCGCATGTGCGTCGCGTCATGGCGAAAGTTTATACCGTTCAGCATGGCGGAGCAGAAACTGGTCTGCAGAGGAGACGAAGTTTATGCTCTGAGCTTTAAAAGACGGCGGTGGGACGGACGTCCAGCTTATGTGTCTCAGAACACGACTTGAGTTTTAAAGCAATTAAAACACAAGCGCGCCAACTGGAAACTCATTTCACGCGGACTGGACCTCACGTGATGTTCGCTGTCATGGTAACGTTTACTCTAAACGCTACTCCACGCATGCGCGTCATTTTGCATCGGATTACTTGTAGTGAGCATGTAAACGAAGATTTTCCATCAAATCGTTGAATAGAGTGTGCATATAAACACCTCAGTCTGAATCTGTAATCGGATTGTATTCAATCGGATTGGCAAAAATCTTTGCATGTAAACACAGCCAGTGTCATGTCTTTGAATTCCGCAAAGCAAAGGAACCTCTTTTTAAGACTTGATTTTTCTCTTTGTGGTATATCTGGTTTTTAAAATACCTGTAGCTTTAGTCATTCACAGTGTGAAACCTTTATTGTTTTCCTGTGAAAATGTAAGAACCTTTTGGACCGAGACTGAAATATGTCTTTCCACCTTTTATTCCAACCTACATGCATTTCAATACGAAGACAACGTGGTTTTTTCATCATTCTAGTGACCTTAGTATTAATATCTTTATCAACACTGTTATCCTTATGTCCAATTTTTTTTGTCCACAACGTAAATGGAGTGAGAAATGACCAGTCTTTGATTCCTTCTGAGCTGAATTTGATCATTATAGGGTTGCTTTGCATTCTTCTTGTAACAAATTACCATGGGCTTAAAAAAAAACAACATAGAAAAATATTACCTAACAATCTCATTGTACACATTCAACAATTTATTCTTTGTACTGTCATTATAGACGATACTAATCATAGTTGTGGTTAGTTATCTGCAAATCAAACATTATTTAAGCTCTTTACACATTAGGCTCAGATTTACACACTCCTACAAGTCGTGAGTTTGATCGTATCGATCAGATATAACTGTACGCAACTTTGATAAATAAGGGCCACTGAGATTCATAGATGGCATTACCTTATTACTGACGAATAAAAAGCAAAACACTGAAGACAACAGCAGGCTTGCTGAACAGAGTGACCTCATTCGCCTTCTATAAAAATATCAGTCAGTGAGGCGGAGAGTCAGGTCGCAGCTGTTGCATGTACAAGTTCAGCGGGCTGCCAAATTCCAGAAGAGCGGACCAAAAGCGCACTTTGAGCGGCGGTGCGAACTGAACAGCGTTAATAAGAAGCATATTCCAGGTCTGGTCTTTGACACGGGGAACATTTCCACACTCACTGGTGTGAAATGTACCTTCTGTAACCCGCTCCGTTACCCTGTAGGCTAACGCCGCGTTACGTAAAGCTCTTCTGAGAAGTTCCACAGCAACAACAGGTCAGCACGGAGCTTCACGACAAGACCAGCTACAAAGTGCTAAATCAGGATTTGCAGTCCTTTCCGTCTAATAAAGACAATAAACTAACGCTAACCCCGTTGTTCATAGTGGAACCGTACAAAAGTGGAAAAAGCTGAGGGAAAATACAAACGTGTCACGTAAACGAAAGGCTTTGGCTCAGTTCTCATAACAAGCAGCTCGGCTCGACCCATCACGGCTGATCTACAATACATCTCCACATTCATGTATGAAGTAAAGGTTTACTGTGGGCCTAGGTACGCCTGGTAATTAAAGTACAGCTTTAGTGGCTATTTCGCTACTCATGACGGGTATCTCCTGAACAGGCTACATCCCAGATCAAGAACTGCGAATGGTTTCGGACTAAAACGCAGAGCAGACAGCCGGAACTGATCCGCATGGTGTTTAAATCGGGCCGCCTTGGGACATTAAGACAGTTAGCTAGCGTTAGCTTAGCTAGCAGCCTCTCCTTGACTGAGAGGGAAAAAAACAACACGACGCTCTGACAGGGCAAAAAATTAGACGGAAGAAAGGTGGGAAATGCTGTAAAGAAGCAGCAGAGTTGGTTTACCTGCATTCGGGGGGGGGTAAAGGAGTTGTCTAAGCGATATTGTTGGAGACATGCAGACAGAAACTCCGTGACGGTCCGTCTCCGAGCGGTCTGAGAGAGAGACGGGGGAAGGACGGCGGGCATGGCTTCCGCTCTTCCAACCAGCACACATTAAGGGTGCCACGATTTCGATAATGTATCAAAAAATGAACGCTTAAAAAATACAGCAAAGAAAAGAAAAAAAAGCGTGTCGACATTTCAAACTGTATCGCCGATACGCCTCTCGACATCTTGCGAGGGTCTCTCTTTAGTTAAATTTGTTGAAAACATTGATTTATCAGTCTACTCAGGCTTTAGGAGGGACTTCAGTGTTTGTGAAGAGGCTGTTAATTGAGGTTCTCTTTAGAATTTGACTAACAAGCTACATGCCGTACACTAAATATAAATAAAGCTAATGAACAAGCATTGATGGTGTTTCTTTTGAAGACTGTATGTTTTTTTTATTTAGTGGGTGAGTGTTTTAAAAGTATTCTCCTAAAAATATAAACTTACCATTACAAAGTGACTGTGCTCTGAATACTGCCTTTATAAAATGTAACATGGGCTGAATACAGATACTTTAGGATATACTTTTTTGCCAAACTTCTGCCTTTTTTAAAATGTGTTTTTCTGAGCTCCAGCATTTTATTTTCCTCAAATTATATCTGTGTAGTATATAATCCAAGAATTGGATCTTGGCCTCAAAAACCAAAAAATATATCCAATCTGAAAATGTGTAGTTTACTCCCATACCAAACATTCGCTAAAATGGAAAAGTTTACCCGTTCAGCAGCCTGTCTGACTTAATCATGAAGAAGTTAAGCGTTTATACAAGTACTGCGAGTTATGCCGCTCAATTTAAACAGGAGACCAAACTGTTCTTATATTTGGATAAACGCTCTGGATGAACGTTACAGGCCAATCTGAGAGAAGTTTATTTACCACAAATGGGTTGCTTTCTTTGATTTCTTGCCTTATTCAAAGTAAGCTAAGAATTACGAGTAAAATGACATAGATAGTAATAAAACAGGCCAAGTTACAACCTCAGACTAAAATGAGTGATGTTACATTTGACTGTTTTATGAATATTTTGAAGACTGTAAATATTGTGTAAATAAAGCAACGAAACCATAAGTCAGACATGATGCTCAGTTAGGAGTCATATTTCAAGTTACTTGATTTTCAGCGTGTATATGAAGTTTGCCGGAACCTTTAATCGGACCGTGTGTATCTACACGGACGATATTATATTGAAGTGTGCAAATATGGCAGCGTCCTGCAGGAGCATTTTGAGAGGTCAGTTTTGTGGGTTTTATTTATTGACTGATATATTCTAATGAAATATTAATTAAATTATGTGTATCCAACTTAAACATACATTACCTCTTTTTCGGAACTTGTTTTTTATTAGTCTTCTCTGTCGCGGTTTATTTTGCTCTCTGTTAGCGTTTCTGTTCAGTGGCAGCGGCGGCGGCGGCGCTGTGAGGAGCAGAGCTGAAAGATAAGGAGATGGACAGTTTTCTAAAACATCCGCGAATAAAAGTTCTTTTTCATTAAAATTATGATTTAAAGACTTAGAAAAAATTACAGCCCGAGTAGAGTTAAAAGTATTTCCGTATCTCCTGTAAGTCTAAAAGCTGCTTAAAGGAGACTTCCACCGATTTTAGAAACATTTCCAATCGTTGTGATATAAACAGAGTAATTCAGAGTGGTTTGATGTGAAACTGTTCATTATAGAGAAACTTATTGACTCAGATTTCTTTACAGGGGTTGTGAGAGGAACCAGGGGTTACAGTGTCTGTACTGAAAATATGACCTTTTTATTTACTATCCAAAACCACCAGTTTTTATATGTAATGTTGATAATAATAAAATAGTGTTAAATTTGAAAATCTATCTGAAATCAATGTCTCGGGAATCGGACAACATATTTGTAATCATTTCATTACATTAGCTTTATGTGATGCAGCTTTCAGAGGCATTAAATACATAAGACGTCTGGTTCCTATACACCACTGAGCCATAACATTATGATTATTATTGTCTAATATGCTGTTGGCCCTCTGCGTGCCACCAAAACAGTTAGGACCCATCAAGGGGTGGCCTCTACAAGACTTCTGAGGGTATCCTGTGGTATCTAGCCCCATGATGTTAGCAGCAGATCCTTGAAGTCCTGTTAGTTGCAAGGTCGAGCCGCCACAGATCACATTTGTTGTTCCGGCGCACAGATTATCAATTGGATGGAGATGTGGGGAATTTTGGAGGCCAGGGCAACACCTTATACTCTTCTTGATGTTCCACAAACCATTCCCAAAGAAAGTCTGCAGCGTGGCATTATCCTACTGAAAGAGTCCTTTGCCATTTGGGAATAGCATTGCCATGAAATTTACCTGGTGTACCTGGTCCACAGTGATGTTTAGGTGGGTGGAACTGATGTCCAAATGAATGCCCAGATCCAGGGTTTTGCAGCCTAGACACTGACCGGTCTGCAGCTATGCAGCCCCATATGCAGCAGGGTGTGATGCGCTGTGTGTTGTGGCACATTCCTTCAGTAACCATTGGTTCAGACCAGATGGGATAGTTTTCATTGCCCTTGTACGTTGATGAGCCGTGGTCCCTCAACACCCTGCTGCCGACTTGTGGTTTATCCTTTCTTGGACCACTTTCGGTAGAGACTCGCCACTGTTGACCAGGAGCACACCACAAGCCTTGCCGTTCATCTGGCCATAACAATTTGGTTTTTGTCAAAGTCGCCTAGGTCTTCACATCTGCCCAATTTCTCTTGCATCCAACATGTTGACTACGAAAACCTTGCACTGCCGTTACAAGATAATCAACTTTATTTGCTTCATCTTCGGGTGATCATACTGTTTCGGCTCATCAGTGTATGTTTCTGTAGAAATGTATAAGAAAAATGTTAATAGTCAATAATAAAGTCCAAATAGATCCGTTCTTAATTATTAGAGCTTGAAGAATGCCATCTTTGTTGATAAAACAGCAAAGACAAAACACCACACTTTGAGTTTCACACCTTCTATTCAGGGGTACAACACGAACAACACCAACCCAGAATATTCAGTTTACTCTTTAAGGAGCAAGAAATTCTATGACTGAAGTCTCCTGTGACTAGATGTTAGAGACTAGCGCTTTAACATAAAAACCAAACACTTTAAAGCCAACATTAACCTGCTAGTTACATCCTAATGTCTGTAGCTCATCCAAGTTGGGGCCGCACGCAAGTGTGGCTGAATGGTCACCTTATCCATTTAATGGTTTTAGCTGCAACCCTAATCGACCCACCCTGATTCCAACACATTTCACGAAGAAAATGCAGAGTGTTTGCACAGCTTTAGCTATTTCCAGATGGTTGCTAGAGTATTTTAGGGGCTGCTAGGGAGTTGCTAGGTGGTTGCTGTGGTATCTTGAGTGGTTACTAGGCTGTTGCTAAATGGTTGCTATGGTATCCCAAGTGATTGCTAGGCGGTAGCCATGTGTAATCACTAATTGGAAACAAAAAGCGAAATGTCTAAAATAGCTGAGTGAATGAATATCAATTGGAACTACTAAGAAAAGTACTAATGCATCAAAATTGTATGTAAGTACAAGACACTGAGTACATGGAACTAGCCACTAACCACATATCTAATGCACAGCGCAGAGTTATCTAGTACCACCAATCAGTGATTAGTTATAAGTTATCATCTGGGCAGAATTTTCAGTTTTTGGTGACTGTTTCTAATAAAGTGGATGGTGAGTATACAGACATTCGGCACTGTGAGCTACATCAAACCTTTCTGTCATGTTCTGTCACACAGTGTTATCTGGATGCCAGAGACAGCTCCTCATCACCAGTGCTCCCTCTTCTTTGTCTGCCTCCCAGAATGCAGATAGATATCATCCTATCAGGAGCTACGCCGCAGCAGCCAAGTGAGCTTTGTTCCCACAAAAAAAAAAAAACACATTTAGTATGTCTTTCTAGGTGTGGCACCATTTCTCTCTCTGCTCATCTAAGACTGCACAATTGCACCCAATGATGCATCATCTTATTTTTTGAGGACTATATGGTTTAGGCAAAATTGTTATTTTAAGTAATGTTTTGACAGAGCCTCTGAAATCACACAGTGTAAATTGAAGAGATGGGAGATGCCACACGTTTTACGCTCCACAAGCTCCATATGCATCTCACCTGCTCATGAGTACAAAACACATCCCACAATTTAATTTAAAGCTGTGCTGTGTAAGATTTTATTTGTTTGAGACATGAGTTATGAGTATTAGTAGGATTGTTTTAATGTTTTTATTTGATTTTTCATCTGCATGTTGTTTTCCCTGTTGAATTAATGGTGCAGTTTTGCCTGGTTATTGGTGGTTATTTCAGCTGGTCTTATTGTGCAGCACTCTGGCCGAAAGTTATAGTCTATAAATGCGCTGTATCAAAAACGTGATTTGGTCTGACTCTGAGTTATTTACTCTGACATGGCCAGCATGTTAGTTTGCACAGGACAAATGTAAGCTGTTGTCATTTCTGTGATTTGTTTTATAGTTGCTAAAAGCTGCCAGAATCTCTACTAAACACTTAGTCAACTTGAAATCAAAATGTATCCTTTTATGTTTTTGGTCGTATTAAGCACAGTTTGCCGTTTCTCATCATTGAAAGGACAAAATTCTTGTTTTGTTGTAACTAAACGTCTTCTGACATTTGAATAAGTCACTGTCTGCCAGCGTTGAGGAAAATTTGTATTAACCAATGGTATCATAGTGTGTTTTCCCTCACACTGCCCCCACCTATTATTAAGCAAAAACATCATTAATCACCTCCCTCTCTAGCTGCATGAACATGCTCAAATAAATATGGCCTGACTCCTGGTACAAATTTTCATGCTGATGTTTTTCTTTTGTGTAAACAGAAATCTGAGCTAACCTCTGCTTTAAGCAAACACAGAAAAATACAAATACACCATTCACTACATTGCAAAATAAAAATAATGAAACACTAATATCTGCTTACATCAGAACTACAAGCACATATTTGTAAAATTGGAAAACTGAGAAATAGTCATTTCCTGAACACACACACACACATACATGTATACATGTGTGTGTGGGGGGGGTGTGTTTGTGTGTATATAAATATGTGCATGTAAGTGTTCTTTACAGTGCTTACAAAAATGAATACATATGTATGTCATGTAATTAGTTTCATATATATAATTAATATATATATCATTGCTGTCCAAGGAAAAAAATGTATCTCCATTTTTTGCAATTTTTACAGTTGTCCTTTACATTGTGTGAAAATTTCATGATGATTGGACCAAAAGAAATGCTCCAAAATTGCTTAGAATAAAATCTCTTTCCATTAACTTGAAACATTGAAAGTAAAGAGTGTTTTTGCCCTATCCTGTGAAGTTGCTGTTTTGGAGATTTGTTTGGACTTGTTTTTCTTTGGACAGCAACCATATATATATATGTGTGTGTGTGTGTATGTGTGTGTGTGTATGTGTGTGTGTGTGTGTGTGTGTGTGTGTGTGTAAGTATGTGTACACACACTTTACTCATTTTACACAAAACACAGAGTGAGAATGGTGTGAATGGTTCGCTCTCCATATGGGACAGCAGGGTTCAAGCCCAGAGCAGGGTAGCAATTGTTAGGCTTCTAATGCTACGTCTCAATCTAATACATCACTCTGGTGCTTTGCGTGTGAGGTCATTTGATCTGTTCTGTCATCGCGGTCCTTAGCAATGTTTTTATCTCAGAAATTCACATCGCAAAAGCAGTAAAAAAAACTATTTATCATGCAGCACTACTATTTACAATGGCAAAGTAATAACAATATGATGATCAAATTGAACCATAATAACTGCACATACAAGTTTGTCATTGAATATGTCTCATTACAACTGTTATTGGCAGCTGTTTTCTGTTTAGCCTAGCAACATTTAAATAAAGTGAACTTCAAAATAACCTCTGAGTCATCTTATTATTAGATGGGATAGTTGAAAATGTAGTTAATGACATACATTTTCTTCTTGTAGACCAGCTAAGAAACCAAGAAAAGAAAAAGGCACAGCAAAAGATGTAAAAGAGGAGGAGAAGAAGAAGAAGCAGAAGCAAAAGATCGATGATACAGGTCGACATAAACCCGTACGGGCTCACAGCCTGGGCTCCAGTAGATGATGTATATTTGGTGAGGTACTATCCTAAGCCAGTGTATGATGCAGACATGGCTGTTGACATGATGAAGAGCTTTCAGAAGCTGGACTTCACCCCTGAAGACCAGCCTGTTTTCATCGATCTGCAATTGGACATGAAGCTTGAGAAAAAGGTGACCCTAAAATAGCTTCTCTAAGCTTCTATAATTTAGTTTTTTTTTTTCTTATAAACTCTGATTATTCCATTATTTTGACTGCATGAATGTTTTATTGTGTTCTTAAACTTTTGTTACCTTTTTGCATTAGTTTAGGAAATTATTGTAGATACTCTGAAGAATATGAAAATAATTTTTTTCTTGAATAGAGATGCAAATTTAAGTCTTTTTTTAACTTATTTATTAGAAAATAGTTAAAATGGCTTATTCGGGAGCAATGTCTGTTATATTCAAGGGAATTGATGGCTTTATATCCAGTAAAAAAAAATATTTTGGTCAAAATAATGTAGGACTTTCCTCACTGTTACATTAATACTCACAAATATAGTTTTAATATATTGCAGTATAATCACAATATAGTAGTTTATCTGTATTGTGCAGCAACAGCACCTAGCAATACCTGTCCTTGTATGTACAGTCAGGTCCATAAAAAAAAGTTATTGCTATTTTAGCAGAAGAATTCCCTCCCAGTGTAAGAACAAAACAAGACTTAAAATGGCTCATATGGAAACATGGCTGTTATACTCAAAGGGGTTTAATGATTTTGTACACAGTTGACTCAAATTAAATTAAATTCAGTTCAGTCTGTCTAATTTGTCAGAGGAGTTAACTATAATGTGCAAAATGTTGCAAAGCGTTACAGTGACATTTAATTTAACTGTTTAATTAGCAGATCTCTCAAATGTGCATTTTTGCTTCAAAGAGTAAATTCACAGCGTTTGTTTCCATATGGGCCGAAAAATTAATCCGCTCTCTGAGTGGTGAAATCACTAATCAATCATACACCTAATGATGTGAAAAACTGAACAGGGAGAAGAAGTGCAGATAATTTAGATTTAAGGCAGGGTGAAATTGAAATTGTTTAACATAAAAAGCTTGTAATGTGTTAATAAGCCCTCAAACAAATCACTAAATGTTTTATTGCATACCATCAACATCCTGATATGGTATTGACTCTATCCAATAAAATAAAGCAATAAGCCACGAGAGACCGTGGGTTACTGCAATTTTATCACGAGGAAGCGCACAACTACCTTCTCCGTGATAAAATCGCAGTAACATAAAGCATCGAGTGGCTTATTGCTTTTATAAAATGGCAGCCAACATAAAATATTTTAAAATACACAATGTTTTAGATGAGTATTTAAGTTATTATTAAGAATAATCAACATAAACAAGTATTTCTTCAAGAAATGTAGTTCCTTAAGAGTGGCATCGTTGCTGAGTAGCCATTGACCGCTGAATGAGGAGAAGAACGTTCGGTCGCTTATCGCTGTAAACTGCAAACATTTCATGATTTTTTTTTTTTAAACTTCTTTTGTATAACAGTGAACATATAACACAGCACTGTTAAATCAAACACTTTCAGTTTATAAGTACTTTTTGGTCACCAAATTACCACCACAAGTATTGTGAGTACTTTAATTCAAGCCTGTGATATTAATGTTGGAGTTGTTTAGCATGTTTGCTATCTTTTAGCCTGCTGGCTAGCTGACCAGCCTAGTTCTATTTAAGAAAATAAGTTTTCAGCCCCTCAGTTTAAACAAAAACAGGTTCTTACTTCATCAATACACTCAGTGCTCCATGGGATCAGCGTTAGAGTCGAAGATTAATCCATTAACAGCAGAAGGGTGTTTCGTGTCGTGGTGCAGTAATTCAGAGTTCAGCTGTTGTGAGGCGGTCATGGTATATCGTGGATTTTACAACGGCTTCAAATGCGGCTCGGCCAATCAGATTTCAGGACCAGAACTATCTGTTTTATAATGAAAAATAAATAGCTAGTTTTGATCAAAGTAATCCGTCATTCTTCCCTCGTGTTGCAATAACATTCACAAATATAGTTTTAATATATTGCGAGGCAGATTGCAACATGTAGCAATATAATGACAATAGAGTAGTTTGTCATATGTATGACAGTGGACAAAGTTAACAACATTATTGTTATTTTAGCAGTAGAATTCTTTCTCTGGTGAAGAAAGACCCTTACACTACAGTTGCCCAGATCAAGAACCCCCTCCAGGAAATGGCATTGCAGTGTCAAAGTCAACAATCAAGGGAAGACTTGACCAAAGTAAATACAGAGAGATTACCACAAGATTTACATCAAGATTCAAATACAGAGGGTTTACCTCAATATGTAAACCATTGGTGAGCCTCAAAAACAGGACGACCAGATTAGAGTTAGCCATAAAACATCTAAAATCCTGTACAGTTATAGAACAACATCTTATGGACAGATGACACAGTGATCAACTCGTACCAGAATGATGAGAAAATATGAAAAAAGGGAAGGAACTGCTCATGATCCAAAACATACCACCTCATCTGTCAGTAGTGTGGAGGTAGTGTTATGGCACAGGTATGCATGGCTGCCACAGGAACTGGTTCGCTATTTATTTACTGCAGGGTGAATTCTGAAGTATACAGGGTTATATTATCTGCGCAGATTAAGCTAAATGCAGTACTCACTAGATGGTGCTTCACCTGAAGCAAACTGCAAAGGCAGCTCAGTGGCCAAATTAATCACCTGACCTCAATCCATTCGAGCATGCAGTTCACTTACTGAAGGCAAAACTGAAAGTCAAAGAACAAGTAGTGTCCCAAGAACAAGGAGGAACTGATAGAGCATCACCTGGGAAGAAGCCCAGAGGCTAGTGATGTCTATGGGTTCTAGACTAAAAGCAGTTATTGCAATCAAGTATTAAAAATGACAGTTTGACAATTTGTTAGTTTGTTTAATTACTTTTGAGCCCCTAAAAATTAAGGGGGCGCTATGTATAAAAATGATTGTAATTTGTACACTGTTCACCTGATGTGGATGTACATATCCCAAATTAGAGCTGAAAGTCTGCACGTAGTCTGAGCTCATGTTTATTCATTCATTTCAACTCTAAGATGCTGTGAGAAAATAACGATGTGTATGCAAAACCTTAAAAACAATGTATACGAAAACTTAAGCAAAGTTAACACGTCCTCTACAGAGAATATATTTCTGCACATTTTAAAGCACAATTTACACATTAGGGGGGAAAAATAAAAGAGAAATTGTGGCCTGTGCAAAACTTACGGCATATTTTGTATTTTCTGGATTTTGTTCCCATTTTTTCCCCCCTAAAACCTACTGAAAACACCATATTTTACCTGTAGAGGATTAGAAAATCAGTGGACATGTAATTTGATGAGGAGTATTTAAACTTTTGCGTACAACTGTACATATGCTTTAATATGTTCTTTAATATTGTTTCTTGTTCTACCTCCATTTCAGAAAAAAGTAGACCCTTTTGTTAGCACTGTCCATTTACCTCATCCCTTCAAAAAGGATCTCAACAAGGTTGTAGTTTTCACAGAGGTGAGTATCTTGATATCTGCAGGTTTTGCTCAATATGAGCTCCATGTTAAATTGTGCTTGGCCTTTGTAAGCCTTGCAATGATTATATCACTGATCATGATATGATGTCTTTTCAGAATCCAGAGCAGGCCAGACTAGCCACTGAAAACGGGGCGACTATAGTAGGAGGAGCCGAGCTCGTAGAGAAGGTAAGACTTAACTGGTTATCTGTGCTGAAGAACAAATTTTACAACCACGATACAACAGCAGAACAAGAGTTTTCTCTTTTTAGATGGTCAGAGTGTGACTTTCTATCTCTTTCCAGAGCTTCAGTATTTATGCTCGATTTTTGGCTTTACTATGTATCTGCAGTTTTTCTTACAGACATTTTTAACTGACAGATTTAGATTTCGACAGTTACTCAATATTCAAGTTTTCTAAAACAATATCTTTCAGAATATTAATGCTATGTTTAGTCAGGTGTGTTGGATGGTGGCGTTCCAAGAGCAGCCTAGGAGATCTGAAAACATGACATGCACATTTGAATTAGCACCCAACATTTTATTTTAAAGTAAAATGTAATGTTTGGGGAAAGATTTATAGTTTGCTGTTATGCAGTTGGACCCAAAGTATTGATTGATAGTTCATAATATAGCTGTAATTAAGTAATTCTGAATTGTGTAAAGCACAGTGTCCATAATATAGTAACAAATTAAATAATTCTGAAAAAAATATGATGGAAGATGTGTCAGACTACTTTTGGGCACTGTATGATAATATATCGCTGTTGTCGGAAGAAAACCTTGTATCTCCAAAATGATAACTGTACAGGAAAAGGAAAAAATCGACTTTACTTTTAACGTAAGTCAATGCATCATGAAATTTACACACAATGTAAAGGGCAACAGGCATTTTTAAATTATGTATAAAACTGAAAAACAACAAAAATGAAGATATGAGATTTTCTTCTGACAGCAGATTATATATGAATTGTGCAGCTCTAATTAGCAGTCAGTGAATTGTTGCATTTACAAAACCTGCTTTGTCTAAAATGTCATGTGCTAATAAATAGGTTCCTCACTGCACCTTACCTCTCCTTAAATACTGGCTCTAGATTTTAGAAGATGAAATCACAGCAGACTTTTATGTGGCTGTTCCGGAAATTATCCCGAAGCTTGTGCCTTTGAAAAACAAACTGCGGAAGAAATTCCCCAAGAGCAAGAGAGGTCAGTGCTTTCACAACTGCCAAACTATGGCTGTTTATTGTGTGAAATTACTAAGAAATTACTATGTTTTTTTTTGTTTGTTTCAGGGTCAGTTGGTGTGAACATTCCGAAAATGCTGGAGTTGTTTAAGACTGGTCATGAGTACATGGTAGAGAGGGACTGCTACATCGTCACGCAAGTTGCAACGGTAAATCTTAATGGGACCTGGAGGCATAAGGCTGTAGGGCTGTAACATAATCACTTACATAATTACCCTGACATAATTACTTTGGCTTAACAGACTTAGGGGCTGATTTGCTAATGTTTTGCACCAGTGCTAATCCTAATTTAACTAGTCGTGATTTACTAATACGCAGAGCAAACCCCTTATTGATCACGGGGTGTTTGCTGCTGTTTTGAGCTTTTGCCTTGATGCATTTGTATTTGTAGCAGTTTCTCTATCAAAGTGCAGAATACTCTAATGAGATTATTATAGTGAAGCATCATGAAGAGTAAAATTGACTTACAAAGTCAAAATCTCAAGTAAATAAGTCATTACTTCAAACTAATGAGTCACAATTTGTACCATAATCAGGGAATGATTTACAAAACTTTTTTTTTCCCCTCTTATCTGGTGGAAACGGGCTTTCATGCTAAAGCGTGTGAGCCAAATATGTAGTTATATTGCACAGGTCATATGTTAATTATCAAGTTGCACCTCTTTTTATTTGCATGGAAGTTTTCTGTGGATAAGCTGCTAAATTGGCCACCTCCACCAGTGTGAAGTATCTGTAGACTATTAGTAATTAGCGCCTCTTATTGTAAGTCTGCCCCTAAGGCTGATGTTTTGTTGTACAGTTAACAAAGGATTGCTTAAGTATCATTGTCAGATGCAGTAACCCAAAGGAGGGAATAAAGCCATTTTTAACTTTCAAGTTTGAAATATTAATGGCATGACTCACACACTATCACATTATTTTTAAACAGCTGGATATGCCAAAGGAACACATCCTAAATAACATGCGGGCCATTGTTCAGGATGTTGCCTCCCACAAACCAGCAGAATTTGGTGAGTGTCATTATGCTGTGTAGCAGTTTCTAGCATAGTTGTAAAGTTTATGACCAAAATGCTTCACAGAGCCTTCAAAAGTGAGGCCATTTAAAAGAAATCAACACTGATTTCTTGTTATAACTTTAATATGAGTAGAAATGGCTTTGTACCCAATTGGCTAGTATTGAGTTCAGTTTATTTGGTCCAATTTGTCAGTGATGGTATGAAATGTTGCATAACTTTAAAATGACAATTTAATTTAGTCAGGTCTTTCAAAACTGTTTTAACTGGCAAACTAAAGATGCATTTTTGCCTCAGAGATTGGGTTCTCAACATTTGTTTCCATATGGGTGAAAATTTTAATTCAGTGTAATGAATTGTATTTCCTTATAATATAAAAAATTTAATTGGGAGAACAAATGTAGTACCTACACTGCAAATAAACGCTTTTTGAATAAGGCACACTACAGAACAGCCAATCACAAACAGAACTCACTTATATGTATCAGTCTTAAAGGCACAGTAACAAAAAACAGCCTAATATTAGTGGATAAATAGAGGTTGGAAAGTGGTAATTTATAAATGATGTATGACTGTTTTTGGTACACAGAATCACAGAAATGTCAATGGAGAAAATAATTTAGAACAAAAATGTGGAATATGGGCTCTTTAATACACAAACACTACACAATAAACTGTGGGAGGATCTTGTACATAAATGTAGTGTGGTGGTTCTAAAATCTGCAGAAGATGTTTTGATTTTTAATTATTCTTGTCTTTTTTTATTATTCAGGCCCCCTAATCGAAAGGGCCCATCACAAGCAGCAAGACGAGCGAGGGCCTGCGCATCAAATTTGACACACTTTTACCACAGGAGGTGAAGGATGAGGACTGAGCATAAAAATAAACAGTATTTCCATTGTGTAATGAGTTGTAATGTAATAAAACAAATTAAACATGTAATACTTTGTAATATGGGGTGTTACAGAAAAAAGAGCACATATAAATGATGTAAAGTAATATTATTATTCACCTACAGTCTAATTCAAATCACATGTATATTTAGGTGAACGAAGGTTTGGTTGTCACACTTTTCATTCTGCTTCTCTCATGTCACACATTGGGTTGGTAGTCACATTAATCATATTTTGTTAAAACTTAAAAGGAAAGAATATACCAGTGTTTATTTCTCAACAAAGACCTAAGAACATTCTTAAATTTTGTACTAGAGAAAATTGAGATGATAATTTGGTGTAATTTACTGTTTTTGCTAAAAAAAAATGCTAAATTCAAGAAATCAGAACATTTACAGAAATCCTCATGTGAATATTTAAAAGCTCTTAACATTTTAAAGCACTGTCCTCCAAACTGCCCTAAATTGAGTCCAGTGGAATGACAAGCATCCCTGCATTACGCTGCTAAACTGAAGGGCATGGTAATGGTGTTCTTACATAAGGAATGAGCACAAACAACACATTCAGCTAAACTCTTCTTTGCCTCGTTTTTTGGGACCAAGTCATTAATAACAAAAGCAAAACATCAGACTATAAAATCTTATGAAAAAAACAGAAAAACACACCACAGGTTAAATCTCTTAGAGTTTGCAAGAAGGTGTATTACATCTGCCCTCACGGCTTAAAGTTTCAGTATTGATATTTCTAGACTTCTCAGGGCTACCGGAGCTCTTTGCTACCAGCACTGTGACAGCCAAGCCCAACTAACAGTATAGGGGCTGTTGATTGGAAGCAATATCTTGTCACAAGATGGCAGTATTGCTCCCTTGATTTATGCAGCTGACCTGTAATGAGCAATGCTAAGAAAGGTGGACAAAAAAAATCAATTAAGCAAATTTGTTACATTTTCCTAAACAGTACCTGTGACTTGACTGCTCTCTAAATAAGAAAAGTTCATTTTTACACATATTGACAAATTTGAACCTAAAACAGTTATTACATGTTCAATGCAATGCTCAGTTTTCAAGAAATTGTCAGAATTGTTCACAGTGGTGGAGATAGGAACCAGACGTCTGAAAAGTTTAATGCTAAAATCCACATCACTGCTAACGTTATTGCATAAAGTGGTTACAAATATGCTGCCTGATACCTGAGTCTTTGTTTTATGACAAAGTCGAGAGACGATTTTGGTTTAGAACTTAATATTTAAAGTCCATACAGAAAAGCGGGTTATCTTTGTAATTTTAAAAGGGAACTCCACCACTTTTTTCCAAAATTTTTGAATAATTCAGTCCTTGAGATGTAAACATTCCCTCAGAGTGGCTTCATGTGAAATGGTTTATTGTAGTGAGACCTACAGACTGATTTCTTTACAGTGGTGGTGATAAGAACCAGGGGTAACCATGTCTACAGCACAAGCACAACCATTTTATTTGCTATCCGAAAAACACCAGTGAACCTGCACACACCTTCTTCTTTGTTATGAAATGTTGATAATGCGAAAATAGTCATAAATCTAAAAAAATAAGTTCACTTTGGGGACTATTTTGCCTTACAACTCCCTGCATATCTGCCATAAATGGATTAAAGTACATTTTAAGCCAAAACTCACAACACCACCGTGAAATCAATATCGCAGACATCAGGCTGCGTATTCATAACCATTCCATGTAATAACTGTGAGGGAGTTTTTAGAGGTGGACGTCTGGTTTCTTATCACCACCACTGTGAAGAACTCTGACTCTGTAAGTTTCTCTAGAACAGAGCATTTCACACCAAACCACTCTGAATGGTTTTGTTTACATCTCCACCATTGAATTATGCAGATATTCTGAAAACTCGGTGTAGTTGCCCTTTAACTAGCCTCGACGCTTGTCCCCGGGCTGTCTGTGTGGTGAGAGGCAGAAGGGGGGCGTCCTCTCAGTAACCAAGTTTAAAACAGCGCTCTGTGGGAACCGCTGCACTTTTCGCACTGTAATTATCACGAGAACGGCTTGTGTCTTTCGTCGCAATGGCTCTGTTCTCTTAAACCGAGTGTTTTTTTTTCTTTTGTACTTGTGAGAAGTGGGGAAGTTTTGGAGCCGCTCATAAACCGGCTGCACTCGGACTCCTCTCTCTTTCCCCTCAGCGTCTGTCGGCACATCCTCGGACCATCAGGAAGCCCATGATGTTTCGAGAGCGCTCTTACTTCTTTTCGAGCTAGAAACGACAGCAGGGTGTTTTATTATTATTCATTGTTATTCTTCACATTGGATTTAAGTGAGGATGGCTCTCGTGTGGATCTTTATCTCCGTTTTCCCTCTGCTTGGCACTGTCTCGCAGGGAGCCCAAGGTTGGTGTCAGATGTTTTTCATTTTTCCCTCGTCTAATGACTGCACGCTGTGAGGGATTAACGTTAGCTTAATTAGCCCGTATAAAAAAAAACTGAAAAATCGTCTCTCGGTCTGCCGAAGCCATGTAAACTTGCTCTTCTCTAAGAAAAGGTTTAATACTAGTGTGTAAACAGTGTTTAAAGGTGGTGAACGTTTCTCCTCAGGATGAACAAAGTCTTCTACGTTGTGGTGGAACAGAGCCGAGTGTGTGAACGCTCCGTTCAGGGCGCTTTAATCTGTGCTCGTAGTAACATTAGCTAGGAGTCCCAGCGGGAAATACAGCTTTAGCTCATGAATGAGACTGTTACACTGCTTCACTGTTGTACGGTGAAAAAAAGACTATTTATATCTCAGACTGTAGACTTGACCTTTTTCTTTCCCAGCCCTGAGCACAGGTAGTCTCACTGGCTAATGTCTAACTTAGAAAGGCAAGTCAAGTTTATCTGTATAGCACATTTCACGCACAAAGGCAATTCAGTTTGCTTTACATTAATACAACCAAAAGGAAACATAAAGACAACGTTTGAGTTACGAGTGAAAGACAATAAAAGATCAAAATCTTAGGAAACATAATTAAAAAAACGTGCAAAGTACATAAAGTAGGATAAAAAACAAAAGGGAATTAAAACAAAGGACTTAAGTGTTATTAAAATTGGCTTAGTAAGGGTAAAGTGCAGTGAGAATAGGGTGCAGATCTCTGGCTGCTCCAGTTGTAGCAGTATACTGGCTAAGTGCTGCTTCCCCATGTTAAGTTTGGACTCTGGGCTCTACTAGCTGACCTGAGTCCGAACTAAAGCAGGGATATTTAATCCTATCTGCAAAGGGCCAGTGTGGCTGCAGGTTTTCATTCCAAACTGGATCACACCTGATTCCACTCATTAATCAGCTGGTGTCAGTCCTTACTCAATGGATCATGTGCACTCTTGCTTTGTTGGAATGAAAACCTGTAGCCACACCGGCCCTTTGTGGACACCCCTGATCTAAAGGTGCTGTCCACTGTCCATTGAGATTTGTTGTCGTTAGAAAAAAACTTTGATCTTCCAGGCCTCTGATCTCTCACTGCCACACAGGCTCACTATAAAGATTTAGTATTGTGAAATAGTGCAGCCTGCCTTTTGTTTACTTGTAGTTGCATTAGTCCTGTTAGTGTGGAAACATACAGGTGTTCCTTAGCTGATCTTCTAGATCGTTTAAAGGGCCTGTATCATGGAAAACTCTGTTTTTTGAAAGTTTGATGTATTATGTAGCCTAAATGCTCTTTCAGAATGTACCACTAACTCACTAGTCTGTACAGTCCATGTATTTTGAGTTCATTGTGTTTGTGATGTAACAAAAACTCACATTAGCATATGCCAGTTTAGCCCGAGAAATAGCCTGGTGAAAATTCTTAGGGATATAAAACCACACAAATGTCAAACGGAAAGATTAAAAAACAAGAAAAGTGTGGAATACAGGCCTTTTAACTTTGAAGGCCACTCATAATACAGCATGTCTGGTCAGTCTTGAGTTTTGTCTGCCAGCAGTGTCTATTCATGAAAAAAATTGATGAAAAGCTTTTATAGTTGGAGACTGTTTTTGCTTTTGGATTTAATGGTCTAGATTTGCTGTACAGCCAGTGGAATGGGTTAGAAGTGAAGCAGAACTAACAGTCAGTAAGCTGTACAAACACATTTTGAAGTTTGTAATGAAAAATAAGAAAGTTGTTCTTGATCTAAATTACAGGCCTAGAAGCTTTATCACACACCAAGGCCAATAAAATACCACTTTATTAGGAGTAGCCACTGTAAAGACGAATTCCTTGTACGTTTAATATACTTGGTGAAATAAAGTGATTCTAATTGAAATGACCGCATATCTCCTATAGGATCTCTGCTCATGGGCAGTGTCCATCATGTTCTAGGCTTATTTTATTATGCATCAAATAACGTCAAGCCAAATAATAATATGAGTTAATGGGCTATTATCATACTGTCTACTTTTTTAAGCCATTCGAGACAAACCATTAAGTTTTATTAATGGACCCTGGGAAAGTAAATGTTTTTCTCCACCATTGAATAGCTAAGGCTGTTTAAGAAGCTTTTAACAGTTCTCAACACTGACATATTGATTCTTTTTCCACTCCGATGCTCCTGCTGCCCCTCCATCCACAGGAGCGTGTGTCTATCAAGGTGCGCCGGTTGCGGTATGTATTCATTTGTCTCATTACCTTTTGCTTCAGTCTGGTTTGCTTCATCTCTTTCACGTTTCTCTTTGCAGTTATGCTATCTTCAAGTCATAATTCTGCCCCGTTTGCTCAAGCCGGACTTGCTGGCATTAATAATTCAGGAGTACATTATCGTGGCACCACCTCTGAAGGCTGTGGCCTGATAAAGTATCAATCAGAATAGACCTAACAGCTACTGGAAACGTAGATGAGCAGAAGTGCCTCATGAAAAAATGAACACCCGCAGACTTTGTGAATGCTAATGGGGCTGAGAGAGTGGCTGGATTATGCTGTTTGAGAAATGCCTCATTGTCTCGTTGAGGGCCTTCCTCCGAAAACGTCTTGTTAGGGAGTGGAAGAGCTCTTTGCAAGTCATATACTTGAATCTCTTATGACTTCACTGGCAGTTTTCTGAATGGTGCGCTGGTGAAAATCTTTGCGT